ATTCCCACCGCTCGATCATTCAGTATAATCAACTTCTCGGCCACTTTCATCAGTGCCACCTCCACTATGTACGGTACATCCATATCGGAAGCGTTGAGATCACGAAATCATGCGTCTTTTATTACAGGAATCCTGGAAAAAAAACAGCTGTGTAACATAGGACGATTCTTTTCCTGTTTTGTAGCTGTTCTATTTCACTGAACTTAACTATTTCACTGAACTAACACTAATAATTTTCTCGTGCTACATCCAACTTGGCCTTCACCCCAATGCCTTGATCAATTTTTACCAAAAATATCAAAACCGCTGGGCTATTAGTGCGTGTATTGTTTTTAGTGATGTTACTGGGATGCTCCCACAGGCCAAGCCTAGCTATAACAGGCCCTTCGATTCTCGGGATTCCGGAAAAACATCGGCAATAGTCAAAAAGAAAGGTAAGACAATGAAAAATATGTTTTGGTACAAACACTATTTTTTTTACATTTTTGCTCCCTTTCTTATAAAAATTTAAAAATTTTACAAAAATTTAAAAATTTCCGAACTTTTTTGCTATATTCACTGCCGTTTCAGTAACATTCGGCCGACCGAATTCATTCGGTTGAAAATTTCGGCAAGAGTGAGAATGACTATTCCCTTTTTTCATAGCTATTATAAAAGTTTCCCCCAGTCAAGCTGGAGCAGTTTGTTTGTTGTTATCTTCAAAGCGAATATTCCATGCAAAAAAAAAAGGCCCCGACGCAAGCCGACTAAAAAAGGGCGAAAAATAGCGGCGTACGCCACTAAATCGGCGCTAGGATGCGTATTTTGCACAGTTCTTACAATGGAAATAACCTAAGTGTAGGTACTGGAACACTGGTGCAGAAAATCAGAACCACTTTACAAAGGCTGGAAATGCACAAATGTGATCCCCCAAAACAGATGTTTTTTCACAGACCCGCTACCCACCTGTGCACCTGGTAATTTTTCCAGTTACTTTAACCAGAGATGCACTACCTGGAGGTTATTCGCTGCTGCCGGTGCTATCATTCGTTTCGTTTCTTGAAGCACGAAAAAATCAGATTACAGGTAGCATGCCCTGGTTGATCACTGGCTCAACGATTCTCCCAACAGAACCTCTCTGTAGGCAAGGCTTTAGCCATTTCGAAATGCCTCTGGTGTGTGTATGTGTGGGTACGTGTGTATGTATGCGTGCGTGTGTGTGTGTGTCTGTGTGTGTACGCGCTGAGCATGATGATCTCGTCTCGGACGTTGCCAATCTCAGACCACGGTAAGATACCTTATCAACTAGGAGCGTTAGAGATTAAAAAACTTATTTCCCTAGTTTTGTTGCAGGGTCATACACATACATACATACATACATATATACGTACACATACACGCACCTACATGCATACACATATATACACGCGCATATACAAACCGACACACAAACACATACAGATGTATAGAGAGGATTTCTTCAATGTGTGTTTTCGTTTTTCCAGAAATGCAAAAAACATACAACGAAGTGGACTGCTGCACAGAAATTTGCAGAAAAATGAAGTTGCCGGAACGATGACGAATGTTGAACATTGTGCTAAATTCAAAAATTCAATCAAAATACAGCTGGAATCAATGATCATCATCAGCACGGCGAGAGAGAGAGAGGGAGAGAATTTTGCCAGCGTGTCCTAGAAATGATTCATTCCCGCAACACCCTTCCCGATGACCGAAGCACTGAGAAGCAGCTCACGAGTCACGCCGCTTTGTGCAAGACGCTGGGCACCGGACCGAGCTGAGGGTCATCTGATCGTGCCCGCTGGTCACTCTCGGGAGACCC